ATGCTTGAATTCAAGAAGTTTTAGATTTGCGTGGTTTTTTTTGAGCTGCAAAATCCACTTGAACATGACGCTGCTTTTTTCGAAGTTTCTCAAGACCATTCTGACCCCCTCCCTGGATCCGCCCTTGCTGCTTCATTGAGATTGAAATTTGAAATTATGTGAAATCGGTTATTTCTCAGCCCGCCTTGATAGTGACAGAGTGATGTTGGTTGCCTGCGTGTAGTATCTATCGATGTAAAAAATCATGTTTGGCCAGTTTGGCGAGTTGAATTCCACAGCCTGATGGTGGCCGTGCAACTGCTTGACGGCAGGATTTCTTCTGAATGGTTTATCAGATTGCCATTAAAAAGCCATCACATAAATTGGATGTTCAATTGTCAAATAATTAGGTGTTTTTATAGAGCGTAAATAGAGGGCGGTTTCGCGCACCATTGGGCCGGTATAATAGTTTGTTTATTTTCCCACTGAACACCGCCGATTTCCCGACAGTCCTGTCACCTAAAATCCTTGCTTACATCCGTGCTCTTCTATGCAAAACATTTACAAAAGTAGATCAATTTGTGATTCTTGCCCTGTCAACCTAATTGCTGGTTTTTTCGGGTGGAAGGCGATTGATCGGTGTGAAAAAAGTGACGAAACTGTCCAACCGACGAATGGGCCAGATCGGGTTGGTGTGATTTTGGTGATTTGTTGATCAACAAACCTCGAAATCCTCGGTAAAAAATAATCGGCAACTAGCAATCGGTCGCCATCTTTCTCATCAGTTTTTTCCCTGGTTCTTTCGAGCCTAATTTTCGGAAAGTGGCTTCGGTTGATTGTGCCTGTTTTCTGAACAGTTTTGCCGGCCGTTTTCCTCGCGTCCACCGAGCGATTTATCAGCTGGCCAACATACAGGGTAAGAACTTTTTCCTATTTTATCCACATTCGTATTGACGTTCACACATACGACGTTCCTATTATTCTCAGTTTAATGCTATTACGGAACCATAATCGTCATCGTAAAGCTTCATAATCAACAAGCAAGGTACCTTAGTGACTACTTGCTGACATTCTCCGTCTAGATGCACAGGCAGGCTTTATTTTCCCCTGTCTTCTACTCGCCAAGTCTTTTTCAGATACAAATGCTTTAAATACCGACTGATCTAAACAATGAAGCCATTTGCCTAGTAGGCTGCTTCTACGTGGGTTTGGGAAGTTCTTCTATATTCTATGCAATGGAAAGGCACACTCCTCAGGCGCTTTCAAGAACGTTTGACATTTTTGGAACGTCTAGATTATCTGCTTTCAGTGGACTTCCTCTTATCTAATACTGAAACTATCCATTTTTATGGATAGTGATGGATTTTTTCTTTCCTGGAACAAGGCATGCACATGCAAACTCTGGGCTTCCAATTGCCAGTGGATCAACATTTTAAAGTGAAATTTATTATTATCGTTCACTTCTAAAAAAAATTGAGTCAAACGTTGTTAACATTTCAAGTGATGCGCTTGCTGCCAAAAAACTGACGAGTTTCAAGCCACATCTTTCGAGCAAAATGATAATTTAAACATTTTTGTTCTGGAAATCTCCATAGTCCATTCAAGAGACAGACACTGATTCTCTCTGGGCGTGTTTCTTCTCACGTTTATTTGTGGCGAGCATTTTTAAATCTACCTGCACCATCTAGTCAGTTATGCAAAGCTCCTTTCAGTTTTCTGGGTACAGCCAATAAATGGCGAGAAATTTGCTCTTTATAAACCGCAGTCGGTTATGACACTTGGCCTGACAACGATTAATGTCAAAATATTGACAAGTGAGTTTCGATGGAATTGGGTGCGTTTATTCGGCAGGTCTTTCGTCGTCAATTTAACAGAGTCACTTCAAAAATGCCTTGCTAAAGTGATTTCACTCAATTTTGAATCATCCTGTTTACGCGGCGCGTCAGTTTATAATAGCGATACTTTGGAGCTTTATCGACACAATGCAGTGTGTAAAGTGTCTTTATCAAGTGATTTTCTCCTTGGTAAGGCTTTTATTTATTTATTTATTTGTTATTCCAACCAGTTTTCAATGCCTTAAAAATATTTAGAAACTAACTTCAAACTAAAGACCAAGTCGCAATCGTTTATACTTTTTTATTAATAATTTTGTTGAAAAAGTTATTCCAGAAAAAGTTCTGGTGGGTCTTCAGGTACATTGTTAAAAACCGTTATCGCTAAATAATAACTATTTTTTGTAACTGTTGTCTTCCTTTCTTGTGCTTGCAGTTTTAAACATTTTTTCTTCAAAAATGAAAAATCGGGAAATTTTCGACGCCGCCTTTTTTGTAAAAACTCGAAAAAATAGATTTTTAAATAATTGACAAGTGACTGTTGCACTTTCAGGATCGAATGGAGTCTCGAAGAGGCGCTCCTCGAAATGGCAGATAACCGGAGTTTCTCTGGAGGCGGTAAGTGGAAGTTTCATCTTATTATTGATTATACCTAGAGCTGTGCAACTCAACTGAAAATAGAGCCGACGGGCCGCATGCCAATAAGCCGGCTTTTTACGCATTCGTGCACTGCACCCTTAACTTCCCATCGTTAGTGTAATGTGCACACCCCCAATCGTCAAAACTTCATCAAAATCCCTTGCAGGTTAAGGCAAAATTTTACATTTCAACCAGACCTCAACGCCATTTGCCAAATCCCCTAGCGGACATTCTAATCGCGCAAAGTAAATCTATTGTGAACGGCACTTAAACTTTGTTGGCTCGGTAAGTGGCGGGCTCTGGTGTCAGGTAGATGTAGCGATTTGGACTGGAGCGCTCGAACTTTTCATCCAGATATCCGTGAAACATTTCTTCCTGGTTGGTTTTGGGCGGACGTCAGTGGCGTGCCGTCAAACGTACGCGAAAAACTTTCACGCATTCCGGTTACATAAAAATCGTAAAAACTTTTATTGGCCACATGCTTGAATGGAAGCCGGCCGCAGGATTTACGAGTTACGAGTTACTCACACCAGATTGCGGTGTTTCATTGCTATTTAATCATTCATATTGATTGGTCGGGGTGAATTGGTGGTGGTTTAATTGTCAATTTGCTAGATTCGGCGTTGGCCGTGCACATGCCAAATTGGCAACGCGGCCAACAACAAAGTGCATCCTCGATCCTCGCCACTGGGCCACTTGTTGCATTCCACGCTGACCAATGATGTGCGGTCGTGCGGGCCTTTCAACCCGATCCGCTCTCGGGTATTGCGATTTCCTCGTCGTTTCGACAATGCGCCCTTGTTATTTGCCGCTTTCAGCCTTCTTCGCCGATTTGACAGTTGCGAGCGAAGCGCTCGTTTGGGGATGCGTTCGTCAATCTTATAACATTAGAGCCGGAGCACTGAGCCCACTTCAAGGGCGGATCCAGGGGGGGGGGGTTATTTCTCTCTAGAATGATGTACAAATGAACGTTCTTGCTCATTTTGCCTCCGAGAAATGAGCAAAAACGGGACGGAAAACATGAAATTTTGGCAAAAACTTTGCACCTAAGTGTCTGATATTCAAATTTCTTTCTGTGTCAAAACTACTCGAATTTCCTCACTCATGTTGTTACGACTGAACCGACTTTTCAATTCTCTATCCAACGATGCCAAAGCGAATTCTGTGGCTCCAATGGTTCTTGAGAAACTTCGAAAAAAGCAGCGTTATGTTCAAGTGGATTTTGCAACTCAAAAAAAAACCACGCAAATCTAAAACTTCTTGAATT